AAAATCACATGACCTTCACACCATTTCAAAGTTGCTTTCCCACCGCATGGTCTACAGTCCACTGTATGATGAAGTGGAAGTGGCTTTCACATCGCTCCCTGGTGGCCTTACTAAGGAACTATTAATCTATGGCTCTCCATATTGCATTCAGATGTGCTTTCCCCAGCCACCATCTGGCCTGAAGTAAAGGCCAGGAGAGGACCCGGAGGACTGGACACTCTTTTATTATGAGCTGCACCAAGACACCTCTGGGTTTCTAAGCGCTTCCTCTGACAGTGACTGATGGCCAATTAACCATTGGGAGAAGAGTATTGATCACTCAGAGAACAGTGAGGATTCCGGAAACATCTCCTAACACACCACTTTTCTCACTGTACAAAGTGAAAAGCAAGACAGCACATCAGGTATACTAAAAACAAACATTACCAATAAAAAAAGATTCACACAAATACTGCAGCCAAGGTCAATGCACACCCAAGCTGTTTTAGTAATCTACTGATGTATAGTTTTCTGGTCACAAAACAATCCTAGCCTTCTGGGGAGGAAAACAGCAGCAATGTTCCCTTTGGCAGCATTGGTGGCGATTCTATTGTGATTGACATCCAGGATATCAACCTTCACATGTCCCATGTTCTTTGCTGAGGTGAATTTTTTTCCCCAGCAAGGGAACACTGTGGAATCAAGGATCAAGGTCAGCAATGCATGCTCTTTCTCTCCATAAGAGTGTTAGAGCGAGAGAGATGAACCCGGGAAAAGGACATTCGATTAGACCCTCCAGAGAAAAAATACGTAGTACTCAGCTCAACAAGCCTATCACGACTTTTCATTTGTGGCCCTTGAGGCTAAATGAGTGCTAGCAAAGGATGGTTAGCAGCGACAGAAACAACAGTAGAGATTGAGGGCAATCTACAGCTGCTCATAAATGAATTATAGTCCAGGTTCCCATTGAAACATAGGGTAATCTCATCCCACCTCCAAGGTGAGGGGTCAATTTGATGCTGCCTAGATAGAAAAGCACAGCTAGTGGCCACGGTGCACCACATTTCAGAAGGGAAACAGCCCAACTTCAACCCCTAAGCGCTCTCACATAGACCTGAATCATAGAAATGGGGTAATTGAAACAAAAGGGCAGAGTTTGACAGAGATATAGTGCCTTTGCAGGGCCTCTGCACAGACTGCAGAAAATAACACCAAACTCCTCCCCTCTGCAAGGTCCATCCTCAATGTGTCCTCCGCAACGCTCGTGTCCTTCCTTTGCGCCTCAAGATTGCCATTTGCAAATGATAAGCGCGGGGACATAGCCTTCTGAAAGATAAGTCGCAGAGGCATTTGTCACCAAATGGAGCATGCTCCTTCATTGTTAAAAGCTGACCAGTGTTGACAAGCACTGTTTACCTTTTATTCATTTATGCTGAACTATTATCTCTGCCTCCCATTAATCTCAGTTACACAAACAGAAGAAATAACATTTTGCAAGACTTGGACAGGAAGACAGGTCATTCCCGTCTGTATTCTTCCCTTCAGACAAATTACCATGATGGCAAGTGAATTTAAAAAAAAGCATTATCAGCTCTGTCCTGCAAATGAGAAATTCCAACTCTTTTTCAGTGTCATATTGTCCAATTTAAATTCTGTAAGCAGCATAACATTCATAACAAGCATTTGTATTCCTGAGGAATGAAATCATGTTAATTATTTCACAACTTTTTCCCCCTAAAGTGTAATTGCTTCCTTGCATGATACATTTTTCATTTATACATCATGCTAATTCACTGGGTAAATAAATAATTGTATATCAAATAAACCTTCCCCAATGCACAAGTCATCCCATTGTCTGTGTCATTTAAATTCATCTTCCATGACTAGAGGGAACAAAAACTATTTCTGGTACTAAATGATCACTTTCTGTAAAATACCATATCACTGCAAATACATGGCGATCATTTGCAGTGCATTAGCTATGGGACAGAAACAAAGTAGTTTTAAATTATTTTGACCAGAAGGCAATTTCTCCCAATAAATTATGTTAATTCCAGATGTTGCTCTACTTATCGCATTCTTTAGTGAGTCAATGAAGAGAGACAAATCTGTCTGCCAGAAGACAACTCTAAGATGATTCACATTAGAATGATGAGACTTCTGGCAAAATAGTCCCTTTTATATCTGTACAAATAAAATCGGAACTTGCAGATTACTGTATTATGCAATAGATGTGCGCTTGTTGTCATTTAATGGCCATCTCCTTGCATCATCACAAGGTTTACACCCCTTGGAAATTGCTCGGAGGAGACTGTTCGCACTGGTAGGAAGGTACCTGATACCAAATCCCTTGCTCCCTAGCTGAACCAGACAACAATTGCTTGGCAACACTCTCTTTGGGCAGAAGGAAAAACAAAGAAAAATACAGGATTTATTTTTTGTACATTGAAAACTGACTTTTTGATGATCTTTTCAAGAATAAGTAAAAACAGGCAAGTTTACATAAATGGGAAAAAACAAAAGCTACAGGAGATGGAATAGTTTGCAGACATAAACCTAATGCATGCAGCAGAAATGCATGTAAATCCTTGTGGAAACACCCTCTCAAACACGACAGACACACACAGGGCCATTCACTTCGAATACTGAAAATATCAAATGGACACACACACAGGCAAATCAGTACGGTCCTTTGTTCCTAAGGATGAATGCTGCATACCTACCTGATCAGAACACTCACAAAACAGTGGAAGAGAAAGTGCTGACATAGCTCAAATCTAGATTGACGGGCCTACCTTAATTACTGACCGAGTTATGTTTTCCTGCAAAAAAGACAAGTCGGCTTTTGATACGGATAAATGCTGAGTCAGCGCCTTGCCTCACAGAGGATAGCTCGACTGATCTCTGCTGAGACTGTCCCAGCCCTGATGTCGAAAGAATTCGCTACCAAATTACCTTCAGATCCATTTCTGGAACTCATGCTGTCCTATAAATGCAGCCTGTAAGCTGTGATGGAAGCTAAAAAAGATGCTTGTACTGACCTCATGTATGATAGAGAGTGACAGACTGGAACAGGGGTCTGCCAAGACATGTGATAAAGTAGACAGAATATAATAAAAACAGATTTTAGCTTTCCCTGCATTCATTTTTCTTTTAAACTGGCTCATTGCTATTCAGGGTCACAGGAGGGCTGTGAGGCTATCCCAGCATGCATTGAGTGAAAGGCAGGGAAACACCCTGGACAGAGCTCCAGTCTATCAAAGAGTGAACAAAGAAACACAAACTGTATCAAATCTATGGGAATTTAGAGAAGTCTTTGCACTGTAGGAGGAAACCAGAGCACCCAAAGGAAGCACAATGAACACGAGATAAATACGCAACCTCCACAAACAGAACCAAGGCACCGAGTAACTTCTTGCTCTGAGGCAACGCCTACTGATCCACCGACCCAAACATATAACCCAGCAACCCAATCTAAATATATCAGTTTCAACATGCATCATAAAATGACTTGTAAATAACCATCGCACCGCCACTTACTTAGCTTGATATATGACGTTCCCTAGAGCATGACTGTTTATTTAATCCTAATATATTCATAATTATACACTAATTAATGCAAGAGAAAAGCCCTCTTAATTCATCATCTCAGTGTCCTGGAGCAAGAGACCCAATTACACCAACTTTAACATGTTTGCCTCCTGTCCAAAGCAAGGTTAACAGTTCGGAAACAAGCACATGGCAAATGATGTGTGAAATTCTCGTGTTTTGGATACATACCAGCTGCTTCCAGCTGTGTGGCATTGTCAGGATGATATTTAGCATTAGGGAGAATGAGTCAAGGAAGTGCTATTAAAAACAGTCAAGGGGCTTTAATGTGAAATGGTACTTTATGGGCTACAGGGTAATTGATTGCATTGATCAAATCCTTGATTTCAATGGATGAACTGTGCACTATCGAGTGACCTGCAATATTAAAGGTCAATAACCAGCACTATTTGTTGTGTGGTGTTGTCGTACAAATTAAAGTGTCATTTGCGCCAGTATTGTTGATAATTACTATCATTATGAGCAAATTAGATTTTCTAAATGAATAATCATATTGGGTAGAAAGGAAATCTGTATCTGCGTTATGTTCTCTCACAAATGGCTTATTTGTAGCTGCTGAGGGAAACTTGTCTCCTTGTCAGAGTACTATAGCTAACCCCTCTGAGATTGTTTTGTACATCAAAGCACATTTGCATGCAATCGGGAGTGTCTGGCCAAGAGGCTCGTCATAAAATGTAACTCATCAGTGCGAGTAGGTCGTCTAACTCCGTAAAGCTGTCACCATACTGCATATGCAGCAGGAGCAAGTCCTGTCCGGAGAGAAACGTGGAGTTAAAGGATCCTGACTGTAGCCAGCAGAGCACCCGGTTAAATGAATGAACACATTAATATACGGTTAGCCACACGGCTCAAAGATTTGATAACAAATTGATAACGCGAGGATATATTTGTTGCCTTATATTGGAGCTAGACTGTGCTGAAGGTTGTTTATGTGACAGATGTGAACAGCGGCAATGTTACTGAGCACCGCATTTATTGATAGGGGCCCATCTTTTAAAACATCTCTTATGTAGGTTCAAGCAGGTGTAGCTCTTAACTTCCCATACAGTCACGGCAGTGGCGATACAACACAGGCTTTATCCTGCATGCGCTGCTTAAAATAAATATATGGGAAACACAACAAACGTGGAAAATGATAGTTGACATTTGCCTTAAGTTTAAACCTTGGTTCACATGTTAGAGGCGACACACTTTCTCCTCTTAACCTTGAAGGTGCAGGCTAATTGAGGAGTGTTAGTGCTAGCAAATTATGGAACAATAACCTGCCAGCAACGTGCTCCGTCACGCGCGGCTACATTTTGGCCACAATCTCGAGCAACTTGTCGCGTGCAGCATTTCTGTACGTACTTAATGTGTTTTTCCCCCGGCACACATGTTAAACAAAATTAACCAAAAACGTAAGTGACACTCACCAGTGCAGGTAAAGCCAGCGAAGACGAGCCAGAGCACACGGAGCGTGGCGCTGAACCTACAGCGGACAAAGGGGCCCAGAAGTAAGGGCATCTTGGTGTTTTTGTATCGCTTAAGTTTAAAAGAGCAGGGAGCTGAGAAGAAACACCAGTACACTGGGCTTTTTAACGTCCGGAGAGAGTCCTCTGTAGTTCTTAAAGCCTTGTTCACAACGCCCAAGTCTTTTCCTCAACACATATCCTCCCTCCGTATCGTAGCCATCCTGGTGGTGCGTCCTCGTTGCTCTGAACAACGCATCACAGGTGTGGTAAATAAGCTGCTGATTACCCTCTGCCGCGGGTTTATCTACTGTAGTCTTCTGTATTTCTCCACAGCCGCTATCCGTTCAAAACTCTCCCTCTCTCACTGAGCCGAGGAGGGAGGCAGTTTCTGCAGCTTCTTGTCTACTTTGCAGCCTTCGCGCGAAAGAATACCTTCTCCAAATGCGAAAATGGTAAGAATTGACAGCAGAGGAAGAACATCTGCTTGCACAGCAATGCTGGACTGGTGAGAGTCAGTAAGCTGCGAAGAGCGGAGCAGCAAAACCAGGAGCGGATCCCGCGTGCCTGCTGGGACTGGAACGTCCGGAGCGCGCGCTGCTGTTATATCCCTTCTTCCTTAAGCAAACATTTACATATCTCGAATAAGCATAGCTAACCACATATTCTCAATGCACGACAGAATGGAAATTATTTCATCTGCATCCTCGCAAATGTGCTTTTCATATATTGTGCCTTACATGAAAATGATGGATATGACATCCAGCCCTGTATGATAGGAATCAGATCGGTGCTTTGCATACAAATTCACACAGATCACATCTGCATGTCATTGAGTTTCAGTTGCATATGCCTCTGCTTTGTCTTGTGTGAGTGCTGCAGTAGGCTACATCAGTGACGGACAAACACAGAAGAAGAAGAAGCAGGAGGATTAGCACTCCCATGAGAGTGCACACCTGTCACCAAACTCAGACCAGGATGTGACTTATGTTCCAGATAGCTTCTACTTATTTTCCAGGGGGTGTCAGTGGAGTGATTTTCAACTGCTCAGCCATGCCTTTTACAACGCTGCCAGAATCGACAGCAGATTATTAATACGCTTCAGATGGGGGTTTTGTGTCTTTGTTTATCCATTTCTCCACTCCCACATAATAGTCAGCAGAATAATAAGTGGAAGCACAGAGCTAGACCACTGTCTTACCAGCTAATTATGGGGCTCATGTAGATGGATGATTCCTCAGATAGAGCTCAGCTATTATACAAACTCATTAAGCCTTCTCTCCATCCAGCATCCTTCGCTAAAGGTCAAAGTCGCAGTGAGAATGACGGCACAAAGCGCAGTAGCAAACATGCAGCAACACACAGCCTCACAGCCACATAGTTTACGATCAAACCCTGATGAGCAGTGCCAATATGAAGGGGTGAGGGAGGGAGGCGCACAGCAGCTAAATGCAACAGAATGACTCAGCCTCGGTCACTTGTGAGGTTGCTCGTAATGATCTCCCTCATTCTGCTAATCTGCTGTGCATCCTATCAGGCGGTGCAAGCTGGAGCTCCAGTCACAGTATGTGCCTCTTTTCTTTATGAAAAAAAAAAGCACCAAAAGCTACATGCATTTCAAATGAGGATGTGAGACTATAAATGCACAGTCAGTTATGTTATCCTCTTACAGGGAGGGAATTCAGCTTCATCTGTTTTTAATGGAACTACTAGAGTGTGTTTTCTCGCTCTGATGTGTTTGCTGAGTCAAAGCGGGGCGCAACCTCTAACACAACCTTTATTCTTACACTGATTCTTCCAGGTCCAGCATGCTGACCCCCATGGCTTACTCAGAAGACTACAAGGAGAAATCACAGCTCTTTGGGGAGTTGACACATATAGTTGTTCATTGATTAGTGGGTTTGTAATTAATTTTATCTCAGTTATTGACTTAAATTACAATATCCTGAGCTTGAAGCGGCTTGTTCTCCTGCAATCAATCATGAAACTGAGACAGAAGCACCATTTCTCTTGTATCATGTTGAATTATTCAAGGCAGCCATGATCCAAAGAGACCGACTCAGTGACCGATAAGTATTAAGAATACATGAGGCTCATTTGTATGTTGCGGATGGTTACACTGTCTGGGTCCATTCATAAAGTGCTGCAATTACACTCACAACATATGCAGCCTATAAAGACAACTGATTCGCCTGGTCGATAAGCATCGACCCAATGAAGGTGTCCATTATGAAATTAATATTATTTATTGTTTACAAACAACGCGGAAGGTCCCTTGAGGAGGATGCAGCTCAGACTGTGTTCCAGCACAGACTGTGAGAGAGAGAGAGAGGGGGTGTATCAACTTCCATCATGACCACAGCTTCACAGCCTATTGTTTTGTTTATATCAAATTAAACTGCAATGCTCCTCCAGAGAGATATAATTGACCACAGTCTCAGATTAAATGACTGTAAAGATCTTAATAAGCCATCAGCGGATTGCATATTACATTGCAAACCACTTATGAGGATGCAGTCCAATGAGAATGAAATTGAGGTTCAGATTTGCATGCCGCAGCATTTTAGCCTTTAATTAACATGCATATTACTGTATGAAGATCAATAGTGTATCAATTTAATTAAATATTATTGATATGGGGCTGGGGAAATTAATAGGGAGCTAAACAAATCCCAGTTTTGTTGGAAGAGTAGCCATTACTTTAACATCTCAAGTGGGCCCTTCACTCTATTATAGATTATAATGCCTTCTACCTATATATATGCCTCACTCAAGATCCAGGATAACAATTTTAAAGCCCATGTTATCCAAAAGTAATATAAGCACCACCATCATCACTACATTAGTAATGCACATAGGCTTTTACTCCAGATCTGTCTGCAGCTGTATCTCTCAATACACCAATAACATGTTATGATCTGAATACGCTGTGACTTAAATTAAATTATTTCACACAAGTGGAGATAAAGAAGCCGTAGTGTGATCTCACCACATCTTGTGCAGTTGAGTGAGGATCAAAACCGAACGAGAGTGTGAGAGATGGAGAGTTAAAAAAAAAAACAGAGAGGGAGAAAGTGAAGGCGAGGGTGGGTGAGGATGAAGGAGCCTACTGAAGGTCTCTCATTTCAGCAGCACAGACTGCTGATGAAGCTGAACTTCCAATATCCCACTACTTCAGCTCTGATGATTTCTCAATTTTACAGATATGGCCCGAGAATGTGATTTGATGAAAATGTAAAATAGGATAACCACCAAATCATGCGAAATGGGCTGCATTTTATTCCATGACTATAAATCAAAAGAGGACACTCTACAAATTAAAGTTGATTTGGTGTTTCGATCCAAAGTACAACTCTCTTGACTTGGAGGAAGACAGTGTCCTGTAGTGCCCTGAAATTAAGATGTTTGTTTTTTTCAGATTCTTCACATTCTTTGTGAATTCAAGAGCTTGATGGGTGAAAGGAGCCCAGGCAATGTTTGAGTGCTCCAAGAGTAGTTTAGAAAGAGAATTCAAACAATTTATTCATAGAATGCGTTTCCATCCCAAATAGATTCCCCTAATCTAAAACACGGCGTGAGTGTTTGGAAATATATGATGATTTCATTTTCTCCCAGTCTCAGAGTCATAAATAAATGCGCATGCCGTCAGCAAAATGGTTTAACTGACTTGTAATTCATCAAACCTCTGCTTAGCGCCTAAACAGTTCAACACATGGTAACTTTATTCTTTAGTTTCTTTTTTCTCACAGCTGTGTTCTCTAATAGGTGAGGAGAAAGAAAAAAGAGCACTTAGATTTTAAAGACCTCATAAGAATATGAAATAAAGCAGCGATATGAACTCCCCGTCACATTTCCATGCCGACTTTAATTCTGAAGAGATGCATTTCCGCAAGGAATTCATTTAGTTTACCATGTTGAATATAAATGTCAAGAAAGCTCAAGAAAAACAAAGTTAAAGGGTATCTAATCAAGTCCAAATGAGGTGGGATTTTCTCAGGATTCAGAATAAAAACAGCATTATTTTCCCTGCAAAATTGTATCCTATTATTTCAAAAGCATATGCCTGCTAAACAATATTATTATGACGTTATTGGAACCAGCCTGGAAATATGAATACGACACTCGCTATACTTTTCACTAGACAATGAGTGACAGTTAAATGTGTCAAGATCAACCATTTGTTCCAACAGGTCCCCCCCCCCCCCTCCTCTACATTACATTATTCTTAGGGAAAAAAAAGTTTCAAGGTTTTCCTGAAATATGCTTCCTGGACCGACATTTGCCAGTTGTTTTGAATGTCACATTGTCTAAGCGGGCACGGGAGAAAAGACTTTGAATGATGTTGAATGTTTTATGACTCCCTGCTTTTGTGTCACTCTTCCCCTGCGCTGCTCGGAGACTCTGATAACAGAACCTCATCTACCGCGGCTGGATCTGACAGAGTAACACAGGCTAGCAATACTTAACATTTGGGGAGCTTCATTTCAAAATGCCATGCTTCAACCCTGATAAAATGTTACCTGGAATTTATGACTAAAGATCATTGTTTCTTTTGTTAAAAATGGCAATACTAGAGAGCACATTAACTTAAAAAATGTGCATATCCTAAGAGCTAAAAACTAAGAATGAATTCCATTATACTTTGTTTTAATGTGTTCCAAATATCCCTAATTATTTTTTTATGTGAAGAACGATATACCATCTGTCAGCACCATGATTCAGTTTCACGAAATGAACAAGGTACCAAACAACTGAAATGCAAGTTACATTTTGAGATATTGTATTTTAATTTTATAATATCTTGTGCTTCCACTCTACATATTGAACTTTTTACCTCCCTGCATCACAGTAATTGTTATTTCATGTATTAAAATGTTCTTTATAAACTATTAGATGATATTATAAATTAAGGCTTTAGCTTAACACAATTTTATTGTCCATTAACCTGACAACGGTTAATCAAGTATTTTTTGGTCTATTATAGAAAAATACTGAAAAAATACCATTAGCAAACATCTGCAAATGTCTTCTTTTGTGTGTTCAACCCTTCAAGGTCCAAATATAATCATTAACAATGATATAAAAACAGCAGCAAATCACAGCGGAGAACATGCCGCCAGATTGAGGTTAGTGCTTCTGTTCATAATAATAATAACTCAAGGATAATTCTCAATATAGTTGCTTATAATGTTTGTTTATCAACATACTATTTAAGGTGTATTATAAATATAATGTATATTGCTTTAAATAAACGATCCAACTGAATATAAAGACGTTTAATTTACCTGCAACAATAAAATGCAGCTCAATGCATCAGTGATAATAAAGGAATGGCATAGAGGAATACTGTATAATGAGTACTTTTACTATTGAAATTTACTGTATGTTATCATCATTATGTACTCATACTTTAGCATAATTTTAAATGCAGATATAAATTAAGTGAAGAGTATAAAACTCCTAAAACCACTGGCCATTACGG